TCTCTTTGGAAAGTGCCTGAAATTGTGAATGAAATTGGGTAGACGGAACTCTTGGGGAGCCGTTGACCCTTTTGCTAGCACAAAGTGACACGTCATCGTGACCGAGGATTTAAACAGGTAGTTGCAGTGAAAACAACAACTGGGCTCTGTGGGTGTTGAACAAACACAAATGTGCCTGAGTAGGCGTGTGCAACAGGGACTCGCTAACCTCTCTAGGAGACGGGGATCCTCGGATACGAGATGCCAGCCATTACACACACACAGACACACTCACACGCACACACACATATATATATTTATATATATATATATATATATATGGGTACCACTAACGTTTAACTTAAAAATCTTCGCGTTCTTATTAAGAGGAAAGACCAAAGTATTTTTTATTATTAAAATATATTTTGGGGTTCTTTTTAAACCCTTCAAAATTGTGGTTAAAATTTATTTTTCTTGCGTCAACTAGTGACAATCAATTTTGTATAGGAAATGTTATTGTCTTTTTTCGAGTGAAAAACACTGTAATTTGGAAATTCTTCGGATTTTAAGTAATCTTTATAAACTTATTCACAAATGAATTTAATTATTTTTGAAAATATTTCTCTTTTAGAAAATCTTTGTAAAAATATTTTTCACTTCTGTTGCCACCCACTTATTTAAGTTTATCAAACTTTGAAAAATATATTTTTGTATAGCTTAACGAGCCATACGAATAAATTGTGAGTGAAATTGGACCGTCGATAGCTGTGCTAGCCCGAAGCCACTAGTCATCGTGGCGGTGGGCTAGAGCGTGCTTGCCTTGTTCAAATTGTTGATCACGCTAGATAACACGCTCTCTCCCAGAAACTGTAGATAATGTCAGCTCAGCGTAGTTGCAGTATAAACCACGGGTGGGCTCTGTGGGTGTTGAGCATACACAAATGTGCCTGAGCGAGCGTCTGCAATAGGGATTGACTAGCCACCCTAGTAGACGGGTATCCTCGAATACGAGTGGCCAACTATTATATATACATACACACACACACACACACACAAGCACACACACACACACACACACACACACACATATATATATATATATGTGGGGGGGGGAATAAATGTTGACAATTATAAAACGTTGAGAAGCAAATGATATTTCGCAATAAATAATAGAATTTAGTTTCCTGCTTTGACTTGGCGGACAATGACTTTTTATGATTGTTGTGGATTCCGAGATGAATTCGGTCTCCAATGAAGAACAAGCGCAATAATTAAATATAAGAAATAAAATGTATTTACACAATCATTGATTTTCCTTTTGCGTTTGTAATAATTGCTTTTGCCATTTTTCTTGTAGCTGTAATTGTTGCTCATTTTGGCGTCTTATTAGTTCTACCAAAATATTTTTAAAATCTTCCATGATTACTCAATTTTACGTATTTTTACTCCTCGAAATTGTTTGTCGCTAATTTGTTGTTGGACGACGAGGGAAGGATTTTTCTATTTCTTGTTTTCGTGTGAGTTCGAGTCGCTCGAAGCCAATTTGCTTGTTGGACGACGAGGGAAGATTTTTCTTTTATTGATTTTTTTTTCTTTTTCGCTTGGGTTCGAAACTTTGTCGCCAAGTTGCTGTGTTTGTCCGCGTGAGTTCGAATCCTCGTTCGCCAAGTTGTTGTGGATTCCGAGATGAATTCGGTCTCCAATGAAGAACAAACGCAATAATTAAATATAAGAAATAAAATGTATTTACACAATCATACAAAGAGTAATACTGTTAGTAAATCCAGGAACACGGTTAGTAGTAAATACATATAGATATATACAGTCTCGAAGTAGGACTTCCTTAGAGTCTACGTGCTTGTAACTGACGTCTACAAGAGGTTACCTCACACTATCCGACTACCGACTCTCGACACTCACTGTCGACTGTCTACTCTGGGTATTTAACGGCAGCAGTCCAGTTACACTTGGTAGAGTCCACTTATATGAAAAAGGGGTGGACCCCATAACAAGGATGGTTTCCAATTGTCATTGGTGTGGAGGTATCCTTAGAGAGCAACTGAATATGGTTGAGAGTGGTATCCCTCTTACAGTCGATAACCTTTAAACCAGTAATTTAAATGCATCAGTTAAGTACATGCGTATATATAGCTATCTCTGTTATCTTCTGTTTAGATATTGACTAGATAAAATATTTTTTCGAAGGAAATAAATAAATAAATATTTGTTCTTGTCAACTTATATACTTATATCCGTATACGTATGTATGTGTAAATAGAAAAATTTAATAAGAAAAAAAAAATCTATACAAGCAGAAATTATTTTCATTCACGAGGGCCGCTGTGGGCTCCGAGGCTCGGACCTTAGGCGGTCTCAGACGAGATTAATGTATTAGATTTTTGTACAAAATATCAGAGCGAGTTATTTGAGATGCGTTAGCATAGGTTTGGGTGTCAGAGTTCCAAGCTATTCTGAATACAACGAATATATTAATTTTATATCAATTATTTATAGGCCCTTCAATGTGTAAAGGCTCCAGGGTGCTTACCATTTCTGACTTCACATTCGGTGTTATATAAACACGCATACATATTCACACGCCAGTCTGCACTAAGAATATCTTTATACATTATTTCACCATTGAATTGTAATTTTAATGCAAATGATTATGACTGAAGTAATTTCTTCATCGATATAATATCATTTTAATTCAATGTGTTTAATCTGACTTTTCAAAAGAACAACGGGTTTCATTGTATTTTTGTCGATACAGTCAATGCCATACGTGAAACGCACTTAGGCGATCATGTATCTTTCGATACATAACTGACGAGGCAGATTTGTCCCCGCAGTAGGTTACCATTTCTTTTTTGTAGTAGACCAATTGCCATTTATATATTTACCCATAGCTTTTAGAAGATGATTCATACCTTTCCCAAGTGTATAAGCACATAAGTGAATGTAATGGATTCGAATATGTAAGTGGCATGGTGGATGCTAGCGATGAGGGTCAATTGTGAGTTGTTCTGAAAGAAATAACGGCCAGACTACACCGCTTCTTGCAATAGGTTTTGAAGTAGTGGTTCCAGTGAGCTATGGCTGCAGCACATTAAGGTGTGAACCAGGGCTGTCTGTTTTTTTTTTTGTTTTTTTTTTTTCAAATTTTTTTACAGGTATTATTTTCACTGTCTTTACCACCATCAACAAATTGTCTTCAACCATTGTCCATTTTTCTGCCAGTGTAAGAAGACTAAGGACGAAGAAATATCTCTTGAGATATTTTGTCAGCTCCTCTAGGACCAAATACATTTCTTATAATAAATCTTAACTGTTCCTAACAAGTTAAACATTCAAAGATTTTGATTTGCTTTACACTAGATACAATATTTTCGAATTAGAGAAGGCTTAATGAAAATCTTTGAGGAATAATTTAGGTTTGTTTATTTTCTTTCTGGAATATTTCTTGTCGAGTTTTGGATGGAGCACCACTTGAAAATCGAACTAACAGTAAACCAGAGTAGCCACATTGATTTATATTATTCGCCAGTTGTAATGGTATTGGTTAACGTGGCTACTCTGGGTCTGTCTATATTTCTGAGATGAGGTATTATGTACATTATTTACATTATTCGGAATATTGTCCTCATCTTTGTCGCCATATTTATCACAACTTTTCGGCCGTTGTACGCTCCGGCCTTCTTTAGGTGGTTGGAATTTCGAACTGAACCCTTTATTTCGCTCACTGGGGTAGACTGTTCTAGTTCCACGTGCCATGTTTGATGGATGTCAGTTATCAGTTATCTCCTGCTAATTTCCCTCTGAAAGCTATCCACTGCCTTAACGGGTATTGAACTCACACTCTTTGGGTCCTGTCACTGGATCTAACCAACGCCTTTATCCACTGTGCCATGTGTCCTTGAGGACATAACTGACATCTTTTTGCTAGGTCTACTGAAGGGGTTGCAACTCTTAAAGTCGAATGTATAATATATATATTATCATGATTCCATAGTATCGATGTCTACCCTTTTCCTTCCAGATATGTTTTGCCATGCCTGATTTCAGTGCCTTTCCAGGGACTACAGCCTTTTGATATTCCTTCCCTCTTTGCTGGATTCAATCGTGGTGGAATGACTGAAAAACTCTTTGCCCTCCCCAGCTGATAGGATAGAGACACACAAATGCACGCTGGGGTTTCTTCCTAATCAATATGATATGCCACTTGTCTCGGTGTCATCTGACTCAGTCCCGATCTGATTTCTTTCCGTTCTGTTATTAATATTTGCTGCCAAGCAATTTTTTTGTCTGTTTCTTTTTCCCTCTCCAGTTGTGTTAAATCTTAGTGTAGATTTAGATATTTTTATATTTGGACATTGACATAAAATAACTGAGTATCGCCACGCTTCGTAATAACAAAGATATTCCTGCTGTCTATCTTATTATATAGTATCACATGCTTTTCTCTGACGCGCCATGTTCTTTCAAGACGTACGTCATCATAGATCTTCAAAGCTTTTAGTTTTTTATGCTCTGGGCAACTTTTGCACCTTGACCATTTCTGTTTGATCTTGCTATGCCATTTCATTCACCCAAAACTCGTTAAATTACACGCCATTTCCCTTCCGCTAGGCAGTCGTAATTAGCTCGCTACACTACGCCGAAGTGCCACCATGTATTAGTATTTATGATTGTTAAATTTAAAGACAAGAAGACTACATATAAAACAGAGTCTGTGGTTTTAGTGAGGAAAAGAAAAGATACATAATAACAACATGAAGAAAGAAAGAAAGAAAGAAAGAAAGAAAGAAAGAAAGAAAAAAAGAAAGGAAGGGAGGAAATAAGGAAGGAAGGAAGGAAGGAAAGAAGAAACGAAGAAAGGGAGGAAGGATGAAAGGAAGAAAAGAAGGAAGGAAGAAAAGAATAAAGAAAGAAAGAAAGATGGAAATTTAAAGAAATTTGGAAGAATTAAAAAAAGAAAGGAAAAAATAGAAAAAATAGATAAAAAGAGACAAAAGCAAAGACTAGAAAGAAAGAAAGGAAGAAAGAAAGAAAGAAAGAAAGAAACAAAGAAAGCAAAAAGAAAGAAACAAAGAAACAAAGAAATAAGGAAAGAAAGAAAAGAAGGAAGGAAGGAAGGAAGGAAGCAAAAAGAAAGAAAGAAAAGAAAGAAAGAAAGAAAGCAAAAAGAAAGAAACAAACAAACAAAGAAATAAGAAAAGAAAGAAAAGAAGGAAGAAAGAAAGAAAGAAAGAAAGGAAGAAAAAAAGAAAGAAAGAAACGAAGAAAGGGAGGAAAGATGAAAGAAAGGAAGCAAAACCTAGAAAGAAAGAAAGAAAGAAAGAAAGAAAGAAAGAAAGAAAGAAAGGAAGGAAGGAAGGAAGGAAGGAAGAAACGAAGAAAGGGAGGAAGGATGAAAGAAAGGAAGCAAAAAGAAAGAAAGAAAGAAAGAAAGCAAGCAAAAAGAAAGAAACAAACAAACAAAGAAATAAGGAAAGAAAGAAAAGAAGGAAGGAAGGAAGGAAGGAAAGAAAGAAAGAAAGAAAGAAAGAAAGAAAGAAAGAAAGAAAGAAAGAAAAGAAGCAAAAAAAAGAAAGAAAAGAAGAAGGAAGGAAGGAAGGAAGGAAGGAAGGAAGGAAGGAAGGAAGGCAGCAGTTTTCAGCCAAGGGCAACATCTCTGACAACCATCATATTCCCCAAATCTTGCCGCTTGCGACTTTTCCCTGTTCAAAAATGAAATCCCGCTTGAAAGGAACGTCGAGTAAATCCAAGAGTATTGCTCACAAGGGAATGCTTCCGTCCATGGAAACGATGCTGGATAAAGTGTGTGCCTTCAGAAGAGGACTATTTCGAAGGGAATTAAGAGCCGAATTGAGATGTGATTTAGTTTTCTTTTTATAGCGCCAGTTTCGATACTTTTTGATCAGGTCTTGTACTTCATTTCCTGTACAATACTTAATATTTATTAGAAGAGAACGAAAAAAAAATGATGGCACACAAACTTACGTGAAACAAAAGAATAAAGATTTATCTTAAAATCATCAGATACACATTTCGTCATTTTGATCTTCCAGGAGAATGAAGATGTCAATCAATGACAATGAGATTTTTTTCTGCTGACATGAAAAGTAAAATTGTAGAAATGTATTAACGGAAATATGGAATTGAAGCTCTAATGGAAATGGAACGAATAGCCGACGAGTGCATTTAAGAGCTGATTTTAATATTTGCATTAATAAGACCCATTCTTCTTATTACTCTTCTACCGTATCCCTTCAAGACGTAGGCGGTCATGGCTCTCCAAAATTTCTTGTCCTTTGTAGTTCTTAATTAATTTTCTCTTTTGCAGTCTCTTCTAAAACCTTCTTCCGATATCCATTTACTGAAGTTCGTTTTCTTCTACATACCTTGTTCCTTCAGGACCTAGGTGATCATGGCTTTCCAAAATTTCCTGTCATTTGTAGCTCTTAATAAATTTTATCTTTTTGTAGTCTCTTCCATACCTTGTTCCGCCATCTATTTAATCAAGTTCGTTCTTTTTTTTTCATGTATGTGTCTGGCCCCTAAGGACATTGGCGATCATGGCCCTCCAAAATTTCCTGTCCTTTGTAGCTCTTAACAAATTTTATCTTTTTGTAGTCTCTTTCATACCTTGTTCCACCACTCATTTACTCAAATTCATTCCTTTCTTCTTCTATGTACTGTAGGCGATCTTGGCTCTCCGCAATTTCCTGTTCTTTGTAGCTCTTAATAATTTTTTTTGTAGTCTCTTCAAAACCTTGTTCCGCCATCCATTTACTCAATTTCGTTCATATTTTTTTTCTTGTATATGCTGTGTTACTTTGGTAGATTGGCGATCACAACTCTCCACGATTTACTGTCCTTTGTAGCTCTTAATAAATTTATTTTTTTGTTATCACTTCTGAACCTTGTTCCAACATCCATTGACTTCAGCACGTTTTTCTTCTTCCTCTGTTTCCATGTCGCTAACAGGACATAGGCAATCATGGCTCTCCACGATTTCCTATATTTTGCAATTCTTAATGAATTATGTCTTTACGTTATTTCCTCTGTCCCTCTTGTCCTGTGAGTATCAGGTTTTCTAAACCCTCTTTTTTATTATCGGCTCTAGAAATTTCAGCTTTCTCTTTGAGATGTTAAGCATAAGCACCATTTTGTTTCCATTTTCTCTGAAAAATTTGCTCGCATGAGAAACATAAAAATAGTTAGAAACAAAGAAAAGGGCACTGAACTGTCATGGAATATAGCCCTCCTATTTGGCAGACAATGCTAGACAATCGCGTCGCAGATGAAGAAGAGACTTGAAGAAACAAAAACGACGTTCTACAGAATATAATGGTCATAACAGGGAGAAATTATCTTAGTGTCTTTCCTCCATTATTTCTTTCAATTTATTTATTTCGTTGCAGTTCTATCGATTATGCTAATGTATGTTGTAATCGATATATATATATATATATATATATATATATATATATATATATATATATATATATATATATATGAATTACATAAAAATGAAACTCAGCAGTACGCCATTTTGATGGCCAATAATCTCTCTGGGGTTTGTCAATGCTAAAATTATTCATTTTTAACAAACGTTTTAGAATTGACAAACCGTCAGCATAACGGATATACTGCTCAACTTTTCAGATTAATTCTACACACACACACACACACACACACACACATATATATATATATATATATATATATATATATATATATATATATATATGGATAGCGGCTCAGATTGAGGGTCGAGTTCGAATTCCAGTCGAATGCATTACATTCACATACGTGCTAATACCCTTGGGAACGGTATTAATCACCTTCTCCCCCCACCCCAGCTATGGTTAAATAGCAGGACAGACTCTCATGTGGGGACCTTGTGGCACGTAGTGCACCAGGTCTCTGTATTTAGCCCTTCAAAAAGTGTGATTGGTTCTGCACAAAGCCTTCACCACAAAGCCTTTATTATAATAAAATCATATATGCTGGTGTCTGGGCTGTCGGTTCCAAGGAAGTTAGATGCTTGACCCTGGAATACTACGGGAGAGTCTCAACATATATATATATATATATATATATATATATATATATATATATATATATAATGACTGAAGTTAAGCAACGTCGAGCCTGGTCAGTAACTAGATGGGAATACCAGTATTATAAGTCTGGGTGTGAGTGTAATTGTTAATCGGAGAGCCGAATCCAATGCCCGTTGGGTTCGTCACATTGTCTTATGACCTTATGAATACATCTCTTATCTCCCCAAATTATGGGTTAATTAGTAAGACTTGTACCACTAATTCATTATTATCTCTTCCTGCAAAATCTTACAATCTGGAAAAATATATTTTTTGGCTTTATATAACCTGTAAAGTGTTGATAAGTCGTAGAATACGAATTATTGAATCAATGAAATGAATATATATATATATATATATATATATATATATATATATATATATATATATATATATATATATAATGAAATGAACTTGTCCGATAGATGAAGGACAGATTTTCTATGAAATTTCTCGTAAATTCAGGCCGGTAAATGTTGCTAATACTCTTTATTATAAACATAACGTTTATTTAAATATTTTTGTCTATATACATAACGTATAACAATATATAATATATATATATATATATATATATATATATATATATATATATATATATATATATATGCCAATTCGTTAGACGAGAATGACCATCGCTGACAAATTGGATTAATGTTTTTGGTTCTCATGAGAACGACAATAACTCTTGAAGGCTGTTGGTGACTTACAATTCTTATTTCCGGTACAGGCAAACAAAGTTGTTTTGTAAAGGTCTTGGCCTGTTTTGTAAAGTTTTTTTTTGAAGCTTACTCCTGAGTTTTACCGCGACAGATGAGACGGTAATGGTTTTTGCAGTTTTTCTGACACACCTTGCATATTAAGTCCTTTCAAGCGTACTAATGATCAGCATTTGGAAAAGGTCTACCATTATGACTCTTCTTGTGGCTAACGAGGACTGTCTTGGAGAATGTTTCCATTAACGATTCCCGAACGTTTTTTAACCATGGCGAGAAGAATATTAAATTTTTAGAATTTATTACTCCGAGTCGGGGCATCCATTTTATAGTTTTATAGGCTATAACGAAAAAAGCTTTTATACAAAATATGACACACCGTGTTAAAATTGACTCCTCCACTAAAACTGTCCTACACTGAATTAAAAAAAGAGCTAACAATCTCACATTAATAATTATATCGTGGATGAACAAATTTGATGGGTCATTAGATATATTAATCAAATAACTCTAAACATATCAACATACTATACTGTAATCAAATGCATTCTAACGATAGAAAAAACTTAAAAGATCCTAAAACATCTAATATGTTTTAATGTATTCCCCATTGAGCTCAGTAAAAAATAATACTAATTATATATTATATTAAATTTAACATAATCTACTTAATTATATGCAATAACTCTTCTCCATCAACTTTTGTTTTGGACAAAACTAGCATTTTATATCAGTTTAAATGTCCTTTGAGACATTGAATCTCTGACAGAAAAAAAAACATATGTTGGCTTTACCACCAGAATATTATCAAGGCGACTTACACTTCATTTGTTGGATACAAGTTCTATTACACGTCTAAAAACACATTCCTGTTGGCCGTCACAATACAGTATACACCAATATACATATACTACAGCGAGAAAATACTAAACAAAAACTTCAAATTCTCGAGGTCTTTTTCATTAAAATCAATCAACCAACACTCATATATATATATATATATTGTTTGAATAAAAGCAGATCACTTTAAGGTTCCATGTAATAAGTTATTTCACCACAATCCTTTTAAAGGGCTCTGGATCATCAGACTACTTCCAAAAGTTGAAATGAAAAATGAAAAACATATTTGCTCTGAATCTACATTGAGCTCTCTGGATATCATCCTCTACCCATACGGTTTACCTAGTTTTGCATAAACTAACTAACTAACTAACTATATATATATATATATATATATATATAGGTATGTGTACGATAGAAAACATACATACACATCTGAACTTCATTTTAATCCTTCATGAGCTTCCAATCCTTAGCTATGATTAATTAATGATGGATATGTCATTTTCGTTTATGATCGATTTCATCACAATTCTTGTTATGCTTAGAGAGTAATTATATATTCTTATTAATCAAATTAGAGTCCTCAGAAACTTCCAGTAAAATATCTTTAATTATCTTTTAAGATACAATGGTTCAAAGCTTAATCTAACAATTGGACAATTTTTCTGTTAACGATTCGGATAATTTTGTTGTTACACCCTGTATATAATTTATAGAGGTGATTTTATTTACCATCCCTTACGATGGTAGCTTTAATTGAAGGTCGCAATTAATTTAGGATCCTGCACGGTTAAGTGCTGATAGTGTCAGGAATTAAGTTTCTCTCGGCTGTTGTCCATTTGGAACGTTTCTTTGCTGTGGGGGAGATACATCCTGTTGTGGAAGTGATAACCCTACTGGAATTTTGCTTAATTACCCCCTTGGTGTGGTGGGCAAGAAAAGACCGCAAAACAGTTCTATGTTGTTGGCTTTTTGTTTTCAGTAATTTTGATGATTATTCCG